GCAGGTTCTTGTTTCTTTTATTCTTGGCTCTGGAGATAAGGACGATATATTCTTCTGAAACGTCTGTCGACTTTGGATATTATATCCCAGAAGATAAAATTGTTCATAACCATCACTGTGAGAACATAAAAACCCATAATCAAGATGGAAGTTTAGAACTGCTCTCTGGCATGGATATTTGGAAGAGATTTTTTTTGTAGTCCTCTAGCGCTTGAATGATTAAGGATGTAGTAATCCTACAAAGCTGATGTGACCGATGTTCTAGCTCTTAGAGCATCTCTAGAGAGCAAAGTAGGAAAGACGTTTAAATGGACAAAAATATCAAACATTCAACAGTACTATCTTGTAACCTTGTAACTCTTAGGTGTAACTATTATTAATTTTCATTCTGCAGTCTATTCTTAGCGTCACAGAAATATTTTTATAAACACAGATTGAGTTCCTGCAGGTTCTGTTTTAGACAGGCTTCCTTTTACGAAGCTCCATTTGTCTTGGTTCAAAATATAGCCTCTACGTATATACACTGCCGTAAGAAGCAATGTATAATTAATTGAATGGTTCGCTCAGATTATTTTACAAAATTACGTATATAAAAATAAAAAAAACTTAAGCATCATTATTCTTCTTTCAGCCGTTATTTCTAACAAAATTTCCTCCCTAGTTTCTTTATCCACCCCTTCATGTCCCACACCTTTCACTACCAAACACGTCTCACCCTACCTCACCCCCTCAAACTTGGGGCCCCTCATTTTCTGATAATTTTCAAAGTTCTTCCTAAACAATTTCTCATTCCTTTCTCTTTCCAAGACTCACACTCTGTTCTCATTCTCTACCAGAGTACAAGAGGCAATTAAAGGGACTGGCGAGGCCATTTTGAATTAAATGACGCAAGCACTGGAACGGTTCGCATGTTCTTGTCATTTGAAATATGCGAACAAGTTCGTCTCTGCCTTGATAATAAGAAGGGAAGATGAGGCAAACGCACGCTAGCATTGAAAGGCACAGTAATAATTTATTATTATTATTTATAAGACTTCAGAATTTTAATTCAGCTGATATTTCTGAGATCTAATGCATTCTTTTTATGGATTAAATGAAATGAACATATAATTTGGGGTAAATTTCAGCTGTAGAACTTAAAATCTGCAATAATATTCGACGGGTTCGATTAACGGTAATTATGAAATCTCAATCTGTGTGAAAGAAACATTGACGTACTGTTTCTCTTATATATTAAGAAACATTACTCGAAGTCGATGGAATTTAAAACCACGTAATTATATAAAGACCAAAAACTTTTAACGTCGGCTTAGTAATTCCTAAAAAATGCCCTAAGATGTGCAATATGAGAGTTAATAAAGTTGGTACTCATGGTTCCATGTTGTCTGTCCAACCAAGATATTAATACATTCATACTTGAACAGAGACATATGCAAATGATCTGATTCCAACACACGTACATACATGTATCCACAAAAGGCCTACATATAAAATGCTCCCTAAACGTTATCAAGTCAAAACACCAAAAAAATACTGAACAAAACGGTCTAGAAGTAACACCTTAGGCTTGGATTCTGAAGGTGATAACTGACAGGTGTTGTCCTGTGTGTATGTAGTGGCATTGCGACGGGCTGATCCCCCGTCCAAGGAGTATTATCGACTTGTATTTAGGATAAAGAAGCTGAAAAATTGGCCAAGGTCCACTGAAGGACAGTAGAGCCATAGATGGATGAATGTTCCAGTCATTCGGCGTTATGTAAGAGTATTCCCTGGCAGGGTCGTTACTTTAATATATTTAATTAATTATTTATATAAATTATTTAGAAACTGGGGTAGCGCAGTATAGAAACAGGCTACGGGCTGGACGACTGAGGGGTCGGAGTTCGAGTCCTGGTAAGGTCAAAAATTTTCTCTTTTCCAAATCGTCCAGACTGGATCTTGGGTTCACCAAACCTCCTATCCAATGGGTATCGGGTGCTCTTTTCCCTGGGCCAAAATGCCCGGGGGTAAAGCTGACCACTCATTTCCAACTAGTGCCGAGGACAAGAAAATGTGGATGTATATATCCACTCCCCATACGCCTTCATGGCGTAGTGCTTAATTCGTTAAGCACGGGGACAACTTTGCCTTTTTATATCAAACATTTTTTGGAGTATAATGCAAACAGAATGCCTAAGGAAGTGACAATCCTCAGTAATTAACTTGAAATATGTTCCATCGAATCAGAGTAGAATTTCATGTGGAGAAGTCTGTACATTATTTGAGAGAGATTCAAACACTCCGAAGATACAATATCCGCAGCTTGACGTCAGCCTATGATCACACAGCAGTGGAAACACCATTATATGAAGCCACAGATAGAAACGAACAGGTTAAAACAGGCCACATTAAAATACTAATGTTCATCAAAGAAGAATTCCTTCTCCCTATGTCGAAAATATAGCCACTATCAAGAAACCAAACTTCAACAAGAAATTATCACTGGAGGCCCCCCGCTCGCTACACAGGATCCAAAGCATATATTTAAGATCCTGAGAAAAATACGTGGAGTTGAACCCAAAAAACTAAGGGCTAAGATACACCAATAACAATAATAATAGAGTCCATCAGTGAGTTCTACGAATAGACCAACATGCATATATCCGTCTCAATATTATCTGACAATAGTCCTCTAACCTCTATTAAAATACGTTCTATATGACACACTTCAAAATCCATTCCTCCCTTCAGGTTAATAATTATTTGGTTTTGTAATAAGAAAATCAGCAGAACCTCTTCCGTTGATTTATTTGTCTTTTGTGTATTCCAGCGCAAAATTGCACGATAAGGAATATGCTTCTTTCTGCTACGTGATTTTTAAGTCTCCAGCTGTTATAAATAATATACTTACTTACTTACTCATGGAGCTGAGCCCTTCTTGAAGAGCCGCCAATTCTGCAGCTACTCAACAATTTCCCAGCATTTTATGGAACCAGAAGCTTCATCACCGTGTTCACAAGAGCCCTCCATTGGTCCCTATCCTGAGCCAGATTTATCCAAACCATACCATCCCATCCTATCTCTCTAAGATCCATTCTAATATTGTCCATCCACCTACGCCTTGGTCTTCCCTGTGGTCTCTTTCCTTCTGGCTTTCCCACCAATATCCTATACGCATTCCTCGTCTCCCCCCTTCGTGCGACATAACCTGCCCACCTCATCCTCCTTGACTTGATCATTCTAATTATACTCGGAGAAGAGTACAAATAAGCAATATACACAATAACATAAATAATCATCTACATATAAAAATGTAAAAACATTTTCAATAATTTAGAAATACCGGTATATAAGGCAATGTTTTTTTCTAGATACATTAGTCACTAAGGTGACTGCGCTGCCGGTTAGAATATCGGGGTTAGATTCCCAGTGGGAATATATCTCTTCAACTCCACTATGTCAAGACTGGATCTGGAGTCGACTCATCTTTATATTCAATGGCTATCTGACTCCCTATTTTGGGTTGAAAATGTCAGGAGAGTGATGCTGACCGTTTCCATCTAATATACATTTCTAGGTAGCAGAGCAGTCTTTAGAGACAGGAACATTTTACCTTATACTCTATGATGCACTATGAATTTCTGGCTTAATTATACTAACAGAAATTTTAAAATTGGTAATAAAATCAGCTATCCCATTTAAGACTTGGAGTTCTCAAGGCAGTGACTAAAACGACTGATGTCTTCTGGGGTTTTACGTTGCGTTGTCTGGTAGATATTTACCAACGTTTCAGAAGAAGACATACACCCTGAAGATGGAGGCAAAATCTCAGAAGACAGTAATCTCCTGTTGTTCCACGTGTCATCTCAGAGCCTTACAGAGATACAAGTAAAGTAGGAAGGCGTATATCTAATTGAACTTACTCGTAAATATAGAAATTATGTACGTTATTTTATTGAATATCATTTTACTGTAAGTGAATTTATTTAATTTAACCAACAATAATTCTTCCTCGTCTTCGTAAGTTATTTTTAAGTTCGTGGTTATATTCTATCCAGCATCAAAGAAAGAGTTTAGTACTAAGTTGTTACATCTTCATTTAAATATTTCGAAATATTATATAAATTATTTTAATCCAACGAATTATCTTCTTCAATCGGTGTTCCATGTAGCATTATATTAATCATTGCCATAGATGACTGCCTACTCCAATTATACTTACAGTATACATACTCAGGAAATTATTTAATTCAATTTTCACGACGAATTAGTCTATTACAAAAATTTCCTTGAGCCCTATCAATAATCGTTCCACGACAAATTAAGTCCTTTAAAAATTCCATAACAATTGTCCATTGAAAGTGTATATACCTGAATGTTCGGTAAAAAGTATAAATTTTCAAGAAGAAATATGTTTCTTGCAACGCAAAGTAGCCAGTAATTAAAATTATGGATCACTTGTCAGAAGAATACCGTCAGAAAAGAGAAGAAGCGAAAATGTAATTTTAATTGGAAATACGAGAAATATCTGCAATCTAACTTCGCCTAGCATTTTCAGACTCAGGAACGTCGTTATCTGAAATTTATTATTAAGTTTTAGTCTCTAGCGTCGTCAGAAGATTTCATTTTTATTGTGTAACACGACGCCTGAAATATAAGAGGGATGATGCTTTGTTTTCTGCTTGTATTTATCAAGACTGGTTTCAGGGAAATGCATTTAATAACACCGATTCGTTCCACAGCCAAGCCGTAGAGCATGTAAAACAATTTTTCTTTCGTTTGCACTGCAATTTTTACTTTCTTCGAAACGCAATAAATGGATTCAATTCGGTCATTTTGTTTGAAAGAAAGAAATGGACACTGCATTGAAATGAAAGATGTGTTTTCATTGGTTTAAACACGAAGCCGCCAATATTCATGCGTAGGGGGTTGAGTCAAAGAAATCAATATTTTACCCCTCACCCCCTTCCACATGCTTTGTGGATAAAACTTCCAAGTGCCGACGCTAGGTGTCTCCATGAGTACCAATGGCCGACGTTTCATATAGCAGCTTTCGCTGCCATTATAAGAGTCTGTTTTAATTTTGAAATAGAAATTAACAATATTGTTCCATATTTTCTCGCAATTTTCGACTATTGTTGTCACACGAATGTCTGTGCTTCAGCGTGGGGATTCATCCAACGGTTCGTATCTCTTTGTTATCTAAGGCAGTAATTCGCCATTTCAAGACATGATATGTTCTTAATTTGCATAGCTGTTTTTCTTTTTATTTTAGATAAAATAAATATAAAAGTTGTCTTTAAACTTAACAGAGTTTGTGTTTAAGAGAATTTCATAACGTAAGAAAATAAAGGCTTAAATATAAGGCGTACTTTGGCTTATAGAATACGAGATTTGATATTTTCACGGGTGTGAAAATTCTTTATTTTTGTCTTCTGGGTTGTGTCACCCACAAGAATACATGGTGCCACACGCCTAATGATCACAATCTTTAAGTTATGAAATGTCTGTTCTTTTATATATATAATATGGTGTCCACTGATAGCCACCTTTGTAAAGTTTAAAATAATTTCAAAAATATTCTATGCAAAAAAAAAAGAACAATTCAAATTTAATATACCCGCTTTTCTCAGATTAGTAATGGATTATTACTGTATTTTGTTAAAAGCAATATACCGGTATTTTATGCTGTCTGGGTGCTCCCCTCCATAAACTTAATTACTACAGAAGTGTGTATAACATAGACCAACAATTCGACTGGTCACATACATCACACATGTATATCTTACATCAGAGCATTCAGAACTTTATAGCGAAAATATATATGCAGTCATAGAGAATATATAAATAATCATAATAAAATCGCAAAATTACGAAAGAATAGATAAGAAGAAATTGTACTACCAAATTAATGTTTTTAAGTAATCACACTCGAAGAGATAATAGAGTGAAACATTGTATCCATATTTGTCCACCAACCTCCAACACATAAAAAGACACAGGTATAATTCTACTTAGTAGTTAGGTCAAATTTACCAAATACATAAGCTATTTTACGATATAAATTAATTTCCAAATGTAGCGAATGCCAACTTGTATGCAGTATGGATTGCGGGGAACTTGAGAAATAGACCTAATTAGTTTTCAGATATTAACATCATTGATTAAACGAACTGTTACCGCGAGTCAAATTTGGCCCGCAGCCTTGAGATATTCCTTGTCTGACTTAACAACAAAGAAAATTACTATTACAGTATTATGAAATAAGATAATATATTGCATAAATTTCAGGTAGTCATAATTCTTATAAAAATTAATTTAAGAATAAAAATATATTCACCGTTTGTCTTTCTTACAGCTGCCTCAGTATTCACAATTCTCAAAAGTTGGTAACACTGTCGAGAGGTGCAAGTCACGTTGTGATCTCGAATTGAGTTTAAAACAATACTGAATTCCGGCCCAACAACAGATTTCTCTTCTGGTTCTAAGGTCACATGAACAAAGGCAAAGAACATTGTCTCAGACACGTAGCTTAGGCTTATCTGAAGACAAGGAACAGAATATGTTCGTGAATAATGAATTATAAGACATTTTATTGAAGGAAAACCTGTTTCGTCACTTCGGCTATGTCCTATCGTGGGGTAGGTTTCTGGTCTGCGGCAAACTCCGCCCATTTCGCTTCTGACCATGTCCCATCTGAAGATCGGCCCGTAATTTTAACATGGGGAAGGAGGCACGGGCTTAAAAATGCCTCAGTGTAATGGTTCAACCCTTCTTTCAACGTCCCCTCCCTTTAAGATTTCATGAACTTCTATTCCTTCGGCTAAATTCATTTACATTCATTTCTTAGGATTGGCAAAAGGCGAAATGACCCAACCAAACGACTTTTTTTTATACCTGGTCCGTTTTATTTCTACTTGGCTTTATTCCTTCACAGTACTCCCCGTACCTTGTTCAGCCCTTTCCTTCTCCTAGGTCAAGGTGGTATCTGGAAACGGGTACCGGAAGTTCAGTACTTGTGGGCACGCACATTCCTGTAGGCAGAGAACAACTCACACACAATATCGTGGGCAGAAAACCCGTTTAACGCCTAAGCAGAAACTAATATTTTCAGACACAAAATTATTTGTATTGTTTTGCCAATAAACTGAGATATTCCGCTTCAGCTATCTAGGATGTGACCCTCTGGCTTAATTACATTCAGAAGCAATAATTTCTCTTATATATGTGATATCCCTTCCAGCACATCGACAAGTCCGTTGGAAAACAACTACAAACACGTGAAGCCGTTGGCATATAACGTACCTCTAGTGGTATTCGAAAACTTTATTATAAAATTAAAAAAGTTTAATATTATAGGGGCCCTCGAAAGAGCTGCCACTTCGATCTACATAACACTCATGACTGCAATAAATCAATAAATATATTAATTCAAATATAGTTAGGCATTCATATAAGCTTATATGGAAATGGCTTGTACAGTAGCAAAGAAGTGTCAGATAAGAATCAACGTGTTTGGCCAGTACTGAATAGTTTCTAACGGCGAAGGTTCTGAAAAATTGATTAATAAAGAATATAATTTCCTACATTTATTCACAAACCAATTTGTGTTTGGATTTTGAACCTGTTTATCACCACAATCATTATTCCACAATAAAATGTTTCTTCAAATTTGTTTTTCTTATCGTCGCAGAAATCCTGAAGGGGTGGAGAGACAGTACTGAACATGGAAACATCTGCTGTAAATACGACCCTCTTTCTCAGGTTTCGATTAAAATCTTCTGTATCTAATCACACTTCTCGGCTCTTTCCATATTTTCTCTTTTATAGTCAGTGACCTCTTCTGTCTGTGTGTTTCACAGTAAAAAAAACATTCATTCAGAGATTAACTGTTGTAGAATTTATACACAAATCTGTTGCCATAGAAACACACACAACAAAATAATATTTTTTAACAAAAATCTATGCATTAAACAGTTAGCTAAGCGCTTAAACCGAAACAGCGGTCTGATGTTAGACGATATGGACTTTGTTGAATAAAGAAGGAGTATTGAAAAAAAATGAACATCAAAAGGCTAAAATACAAAATAACTTACGAATTTATATACGTGTTCCTATTAAAATAAATTTATCTATTTCTGGTACAGCTGCATCTCGAAACTTTTCAACTTAAATATGTCGTTCCTTCTACTTTTTATCTTATAGAATGCCATGCCATATTATTCCAATCAGAAGTTTCTTGAAATGTTACTCTATGTACCACCTGCTTTAACATTGAAGCAGCTGTTCATCTTATCAACACTGTACATATTTTTCTTACAGTTCTCAGATTAAATAGCGATAGTATCAAATAGACTGGTGTTTGTAATGAAGACACAATACGGTTTGTGCCATATGTACTGAATTTTTTAGTAATATAAAGAATATATGAACTTCAGGTTTCAAAGGGCTGAAATGTTGGAAACCGAACTGAAATAAATACACTGTACAAGCTCAGTGCTTTCGGCTAGAATACGAGGTATATTCAAACCTAGGAAACAAACACCGTTTTCTGGTAATATTAACGATCCGTTCATTAATTCTTAAGACGCTGGAGAAATCGTTACTAAAGCCACTGCTATTTTACGTTATACATTACATGTTTTCCTTATAAAATGATTCGTCGATATGAGAAAAGCCGCAACATTTAATCCGATGAAATTATTTAGAATTCATAAGCCACTATACGGTATTTAGCTCATTTTTGCGCAGAGATAAAGTTGCCAGAACACAGGAAGGATATTAACGAACTCACTACTGAACATCAAAAGTTAGTACTCCGGGGGAAACACGAGCTATGCTTGACCAGAAAATGAAAAGTCAAATCCTTAAAAAAAAAAACGTAGTACTTGTCACTAAGCGTTAGAATGCCCACCTCCTGAAGTGTTTCAGTTTTTATTTGCACCGCTGTCCTTATGTCATTTCATTACAGTTGTCACTTCTCGAGAGACAAACGATAAGTGAACGTTATTTTTAGGGAGCAAAAGAAAATATGAAGACAAAGATTACAATAAAATTGTGCATCTGGAAGAAAGAGGTGGCAATTTGGGGTGATTACTACCCTGCTCAGCTGCCCTACATAGGGCTCAGTAAATTAGTAGGAATTATGTGTGCAGGTTTGTGGCTTCATAAAAACGGCAGTTCGGAATGAAACAACGACTGTTTCGAAATATGTTACATGTTTATCTGTGTTCTCCATTTGTACCTGAACATAAATCAATGTTCGTTAGATGACGGACTTGAGTACAGCATAAGGTAAAACTATCATTTGGAAGTCTTCATTCTAGAACCGAAGGTTACGACCAGGAACTTATTACCCCTCCTTCGTATTCGGTAGGTTCAGGTTCGAGCTCAGTTAGTATAGCTTCGAGCTACGGGCTGGACGGCCGGGATTCGATTCCGGGTAGTGCAAGACATATTTCTTTAGTCCACAGAGTCCAGACCGGCTTTGAGGCCCACCCAGTCACCTACACACGGATACAGGACGTTCTTCCTCAGTGGATAAAGAGGCGGAAACGTGAAGCTGACCACGCACCTCCATCTAGTACCGAGGTCAAAAATGGTGAAGCTATATCTCCACTCCCCGACATGCCTTCATAGAGCGGTGCTTAATGAATTAAGCACAGGTACAAATCTACTTTTACCGGGTTCGAATGTCGGCTTGGATACCTGCTATCCTGAGTGAGGTCACCGCAGTTTTCCTCAGTCTATCGAGGAAAATCTTATGTTGATGCCCTAAAACTTGCAAACCATGTGTAGGATTTGAGGATCTCAAAGCAATGGTTATGACGGGTTTTATATTTTGATGTGTAATACCATATAGTTCCTTTAAAAGTCAACCGACCTTTCGATGGAACATGTCGCCTCCAATTTCACGATCGAATAATAAGCCAAGCAAGCGACTAGCATGAATGCATTTGGCAAGATTGCCAATGGATTAAACAGAAAATAGAAATCTTCATGCCAATTCATAATTCACAACCATCTTAATATACGATATTATAATAATTACGTAGTCATTCAATAATCAAAGAACAAACAGTCTCTAAGAAAGAGGAAAATCTGTAAATATCTCATTAATATACTTGAATACCAGTCTTTAAGGCGAAATAGTTATTGATTAACATTATATATATTATATTAA